AGCCCGTTTGGTCGAGCCGTAATGAAGTTATTCAACTTTTTCTTTGTATAGTTACTTACTGAACACCCGATATACATGCGAAATAACTTTCATATATGCTTTCTTTCAGTTATCGATAACACAATCATAGGTATTGTTTCGACTTGTGCATGTTGGAATATATCATGAACAAGTCTATTTGGATGTCTTTTGAATAATCTGAAAGCGTGTAATACCGCTTTCTGGAGAAAGACTGCCTTAAGAATGAGAAGATAGGAAAACTCGACCAATGTAAGTAATATCAACTCAAGAAATTTGCACAATAGTTCTTAGCTAGTTTTGATTATGAGAACATTTTCTTTGTACACCTAATCTACAGCAATGAAAAACCCAGATTCATATAATTCTATGTACTGTGGAACACCGAAGGAGGTGTCAAATCAATGATCGAAACTTAACTTCAGTGGTAACTCTACTATTATAATTTCATTTGCTTATAAAGATTTATTCCGACATTTCATGACATCTTTTGTACCGTTTCGTCACTGTAGTAACTACTCTTTTAGAAGCAATAAAATATTTTAGATTATTTATGATATCTATTAGTTGGTTTACAATAATATAGCTCATTTTCTTTTCGTCGATTACTAAAAAAATACGAGAAAAATGCCAAGACAAAAGTTATGTGAACATCCAACTCTGCATGCAGGTTCTTCTTATGTAGCAGCAGCTCGACGTCTGGTCTCTCGTCGTCTTCTCACTTTTATACGCAATCGTTATGGTTTTGAAGAGTTGAAGATTCGTCGGTTGTGCTCGAGGTGTCATTCGGCGGAAACAGAGATGATGAAGCAACAACACAAAATGGGTAAAGGTGATATGGATGTTAGTGATGATGAAATAAATGGAGATAGTTCGACGGATAATGAAGGAGAATATGATGATAATGAAGAAGTAGATGATGAAAGTCATCAGCAAGATGATGATGAACAAAGCGAAGATGAGATGCTTCTTGAAACCAGTTATCAAGAAGAACAAGCAATGGAGCAGCTATCTGCTGTTTTTAAATTATTAAAGATAAATCCAGTCCATGATAAGTGAGTTTTAGATATTGTTTAAGTTGATAAAATAGCTTTTTTTAAGATTAAATACTCGCTCGATTCGTTCTAAAATTGATGAAGTTTATACATATCTTCATGGTTTATGTGATATACTCGAAGGAAAATCCGCACAAGCAAACAATCCAAATCCACATGGACTTCTTGTTCAAGAATCCAATGATCTTCTGACGGGTTTAAAAGATTTATTCAATGAAAGTGATGTTTCAGAACAAATTCGTCTCTTAACCATTGCACCAAAGGAGTGGGGTCACGAAAAAGTTCGTAAATGGTAAGTAGTATGAAAGTTCATAGCTGAATCTTCTGTTTCGATTTAGTTTCATCAATGAAATCTTTGGGTACTTTTTCTTCTTCTTAGGTTTGGATCAACTCAACATCAAGCTCGTCAATCACTTATACTTTGGCAGAACGAAGGTGTTCTTGCTTTTCCTCAGTATTTCAAAGGCAACACATCAATTTCTAACGATACGATTACTAGTATAATCAACTTCTATCGCGAAGATGGTGTTAGCCGTGTTTCATCAAACTCAAAAGATACTATTCAAATTAATCACAATACAGTACCTATTCGTTATATGGAGATGAGTGTTTTAGATGCTTTTCGTATATTTGATGAACGTTTTCCTGGTTTAGTCGGTCGTACAACATTTTATTCATCACGACCTCGCGATGTAAAGATTCTGGCACCGCATGATACATGTATGTGCATCATACATGAAAACATGAATCTTTCGATCAAGGTACATTTTTGTGTACTCAAAAAGTGAGTACACTACTAAAATCGGTCAGTGTGTCCGGCCGTCCGTTTATTCGATAACTTTTGAAAGGAGAGTCAGATCGCGATGAAATTTTCTACACAGATCAGTCTTGACAATATCTCGTTTGAGTTCGAAGATGAGAAGGATCCGTCAAGAAATGACTGAGTTATCGAAAAAATTGTGATTTTTGACCAGACCATCCCTGAGGGGGGGTACGGGGATTTTTCGAAAAAAATTTTTTGCTCATAATTATTCACAAAATACATAAATCGACTCAGCTTTTAACGCTGATTCTGAATCTGATATTAGTTTTGAACCGAATCATAGTTTTGTCTACTCAAAAAGTGAGTACACTATAGAATAGTCAGTGTGTCCGTCCGTCCGGTTGGCTGTTTACATGATAACTTTTGACAGCAGAGTCAGATTGCGATGAAACTTTCTACACAGCTTAGTATTGACAATATCTCCGTCGAGTTCGAAGATGAGAAGGATCGGCCGAGTCGTTCCTGAGTTATTTCAAAAATACCCATTTTTCTCTATAGCTTTCTGTGGAAAAATCGACACATCGCCGCTTTCGTAAAAGACTTTTCCTATCATAGTCAAATAAAACCCCAATTATTATATACCATTCGATAGAGAATTTCAAGAGCTACAAAATCATATATAAAGCATAGAGAAACAAGAAGGTTGACTCACCTATGACAAGGATAATTAAAGAGAACTAGGTTATATTTTGGTCCACGATTTAATTGATCCACAAATCGAGCTCTAGCTTCCGATCACACTGATGATACTTCGAGGTTTTCAGATATGGAGAACTCGAATGTGTACTGCACTTCCATCGAAATACTATTAGTTGTGCAGTGACCAATAGAAATGAAGTTATAGGAAAAACGACTTTCTTAGGGTAAATCAAGGGAAAGAGTTCAAACTTGAGCTGTATTTGGCCCATGTCCTATTGGTTTGGCAACGCGCAATAGAAATCAACATTATAAATGGTAGATTTCACAGTATAATTTTGATATTCAGACAGTCTAGGATGATTGATTTATATGATTCACTTTTTGAAGTACACATAACTCTCGGATTTAAATCCGAAGTTTCCGCATTTATTTTATTTGCCACATTGGAGTGATATGTGCAAATAGAAGTTTCTTACTGTTCTAACGAACGAGCAACTATCTGTATAGTTGTTAGTCTCAGCAGAGAGTGTGCACAGGTGAAGTAAACACTATTCTATTTCGTCTTCTACGTGCTATTAGATGGTGAGAGAAAGATGGGGGTCTAAACAAACCAGCCTCTCTTCTTATGAAGAGACCATAGCCCATCAGGCTAGTCATCAGCGACCGACACGGGTTAGGTCAGAGCTCGGGTTGGATCAGCCAATGGAAAACTTGTGAAGTTTAAAGTTCTTGTTTTTTTGAAGTTAGATACATTAGTTGCTTGTGTTTTTTTTTCGCATTTCATTTCCTTTTGATGAGTAGTATGCGCGGGAGTTCGACGGCAGAACAC